GGAAAGAGAGAGAGAGAGAGAGAAGAGGAGAAGAGGGGAGAGGAAAGAGAGAGGGGAGCAGGAGAAAGAGAAGAGAGACCAAGAGAGAAAAAGGAAGAGAAGCAAGGAACAAAGAAGAAGAGAAAGAGTGGGGGGTGGAAAAGGAAAGCGTAAAAAGGAGGGAGATCCGAGAGATCCCCCCCTGGAAGGTTTGTTTGCAAACTGTAACAAGCAAGTTTTTAAAGACGAATCCCAGCTAGTGGGCCGTAAAAAACTTCTTTGTCAAGGGGGCCTTCAACCCCTTTTTTAAAAAAAAAAACGAACGGGACCCGGGTCCCTTTTTGGGGTTTTGAGACTTTCTGATGGGGTCTATCCCCGCCCGTGGTATGGTTTTTTTGCAAACTGTTTTAAATTTCAGAGTCATTTTAAAACGGCTTTGAGGGGACTTGGCTGAGTTCATCAGGGCCCATGCTAGCTGGGTTTCCAGTAAAAACTTGCATTTGGGGAACAGTGGTGCCTATGCAACCTTCCTATGGGGGTGAAAATTACAGGGGGGACGAATCTTATTGTGGTAGCTGGTCCAGTGGCTAACGCGACTGTTTGGATTTTTTGAGATTTCTGACTGTGGGTTCTTCCCGCCCGGGGTATGGTTAAAAATTTGAAAATGTATGCGGTGAAAAATTTACAATACAGTTCATCCTGTATACATTATATACAGTACATAAAAAATTTAAAAATAAGCAATAGAAGAAAATTTATGGTAAAAAGAATGAAATAATGATTGCATTACATTACAGTACTATGTAGGAGTTTATATGGGAAAAAGTTTGAAAATTACCCCTCCCCAGTATGTCGGCAATTTTCAAAGGTTGCTTAGCCCTTTTTTGATTTAGCCCGGGTTGGTCGGAACCAAGTTTGGTCGTAAGTCGGAGGGAGGTGCAGTTTTTGAACATGCATAAGGGTTTATGTCCCAGTTTCCCTAAAATGAAGAAATTTAAATTGTTAAGATTTTTTTTACATCTTTCCATCTCTTGTCCTTGAACATGATACAACTTGCTCAGAACATGCATCTGATACAACAAAACTTGAATTTCATAGCATAGTTCATTTTCTTACTGTTTATCAAGGTGGACAATAACTTACTATCTTTATTGACTAACAGCAGGCAAAGTCTATCACTCTGCCATATTTTCACCTCTTAGCCCTGTCACTGTAGAGACCTCTGATCCTGAAGTTGCTTTGAGTCGAAAAATACTTGGGAAAAAAAAAAAAATTCTAACCAAAATCTTGAGAATATTTTTAAGTTTTTTTAAAAGAAAAAAAAATTTTGTGTTCAGTACTTACCGAGATATAGAGGCGTGAAGATGACTGAAAATAAATCGCTTATTCTACTTTTTTCTTTAATTTTTTTAATATTTTATTTTTTCAAGTAACTTTTGTGGCCTGTGAGACAATGTAATGTGCAAGGCATATATATCCACTCATTGTATGCAACTCAACAACAACACAAACATTGTTTCATTTTGTTTTTTTTTGGTCCAAAAACCTGTTTACCAAACAACAAAAAAAAATTTTTTTACTTTTGTTTTATAATTTATATGCATATAAAGTTACTGAACAAATTCCCAAATGCTGCAGCTTGTGGAAGGTTGTTTGTGTGGGATGGTTGAAAGGTACCTTTGTTGTTGTGTGAGGCAGCGTGGCTGGGGGCAATGAAAAATACAAACCCCACCACCCATTACCATTGCTTCCCACACCCATAGGAAATAAGTCATTTTGATTTTTTGGGGTTTTATTGATGGTCGTCTGGGTTTTCAGCATATTTCTGACATCCTGGGCATTGTTTTCAGTCACAAACCCCGGGAAACCATAAAATTTCACCTTCACTGACACGTTCATCTTGTTTAAATGTCATTGGAAAAGAACAGTCCAAATTTTCGCCGGGGGTGATGTATAATTCCGCAAAGAGGTAAACAAGGCCTAGTAAGGGGACCCCCACAGTGCACATGGCTCCCTGATTTTTTTACTGTGACACTGACCACGCAGACCTTTTCTCTCACTGTAGATTTGAAGCTGCAAGAATTTTGGCGTTTTAAAACCAACACTGGCTGTCAGACATACCTACCAACCCCCGACAGGAAAAGGGGTTTATTATTCAAGTATAAACCCTTATTTACTATTTCTTCACATTAACCCTTTGACTGTTTTGGTCTTTAATTACAGGGGGAACCCCGAAAAAACATGGCACCCAATAGCGATTTTTCCGCAAAACGATTTTTTATCGAAAAAAATTTTTGGCGCATACCGATTAAAAACCCCTTCCATTTTCGTCCGAGCGCGTCCAAGTGCCCCTCACATGTGGGGCCCGCCCATTGTTTTCCGCCACCTCCCGGAACATCCAAGCAAACTCGGAAATATTTCGTTTTTTACGTGTTTTCTCTGTTTCTGGAAAAATAAGTGCCCAGGGCCCCCAAGAAATTTCTAGTGAAACCCCCTGTGGTAAAAGGGTGAAAATTTAGTAGGGAAAATTAAGAAAGTTTTGAAGGTTTGGGGCAAACCCCTGAGAAGCCTATCCAGTGTGGAATCCTTTGTGCCTACTTCAAAGATTAAGGAAATGTGTGACAGTGGGTTGAATGAAAACCCTTTTATAGATGAAAATCCCCGGGGACACAGCTGTTCAAGCCGTGCTGGTGTTTTTAAATGACTGTTGGGGCCCCCTTTTTAGAAAATCTAAAGGAACGGAGGACAGAGCTCTATGGACAGATTTTTTTGTGCGACAGAGGTCCAGTGACTCTCAAGCGGTCCTATTTGCTTAAAAGAAAAAGGGGAAGTAACCCCCGGAAAAAGGGACTTGCTACCTAAAGTGTAATGGAAGGGGGATTCCCCCTTCAAAACAGTAAAAGAAAATGCTCCCCCCTCCCCCCATCCCATCAATTCCCCAGATCTTAAATAAAGAAAGGGTTCATTTAATTGTGCATGCCTTTTTCGTTTGTGTGTATTAAAATTAACATTTCATGTGTAAAAAAAAATTTTTTTTCATATTTTTGGGGCGTCTTGCACGTTAATTTTTTATTTCCATTTATTTCTTAGGGGGAAAATTCATTCCATAACGATTATTTCCATAACGTGAGCCCCCTTTTCACGGATTAAAATCGTTTTAAAGGGGGGGCCCCTGTATACTCTTACGAGCCCCATTTTTTTACGTATATATACTCATAAAATTTAGCGGTTCAAACAACGGAGAAAGTGGGGGCCCCCATGTGAAGAATGGGGCTATGTGGTAGTGTGCCCATATAAAAAAAATCCCCGCGCACGTAGTCATTAAAAAAAAAAAAAAGACCGTTTTTTTTAATTAACCCCGTAAACGGTCAAGCAGATCTACGTTACATGTGTAGTGCTACAAAAGTGGGTCAAGTTTTTTTTACATATTTTTTTAAATATAACAAAAAAAAAAAAAAAAGATCAAAGTTTTTTTTACATTTTCAAATAAAAAAAAAAAAAAGGGTCTATTTTTTTTCATACTTCAAATGTTTTTAAAAAAAATATAAACGTTTGGACCGTTTGGGTTAAAATTTCCGACTTTTTGGTTACTTTGTATGATTTTTGGGTGATTCTCGTTTTCTTGGACCATTTGATGAAGGAAAACAATTATAGAAATGAGGGGATTTTGATTTATTTTACTATGAAAAAACCCTTGAAATGGAGCTAAAATAGGGTAAATGTTTGATTTTTGCGATTTTTAAAAATAAACAATGATTCTTTTACAATAAATGCCAAGTAGCCTTCTAATATGCAGTCAGAAAGGGTTGACATTTTTTATATAATTATTACATATTGCAGTAGTCTGCATAAAAAAATCTTCTATTTTTTGTTTGAATAAAAAATTTAAAATAGAAAGCAAGAGTAATTTCAGAGGGAGGGGACTGGAGACATGATGATGAGCAAAGAAAATGTTACTTTTAGAGCCAGGAATGTATGCATTGTTTCATCGGGACCTTTTTTGAAAATAGTGTCATATTTTTATTTTCATGAATTGGCCAAATTGCAAAATTGCTGACCACATTATTGGGTAGTTGAAATTGGTAGACATGGGCAGTTTCTTGTACTCAATCAATAGAAAAATGGAGTTCTAAAGAAATTCTATGAGTTTGGTCGGATGGAACATTGGAATAGCCGAAATAGGGCTCAACGGGGCAAAATATCGCCGAATTTGTAAATATCGCTAACTTCACGAGAGTGTAATTTTGTCAGTTTTCCATCAAATTTCATTCTTTTGGTGTCATTACGATCGGGAAAAGATTCTCTATCATTTCATAAGAACAATTTTTTTTTTTTTTTTAAATTTTGCGACACCAGGAGACACCTCAGGATTTGGGGTTGTGACAGTCAAGGTTTTAACCTAAGACTTAATCCTTTTCTGTTTTACACATCAGCTATATCTCATACATGCAGGGTAACCAAGAGAAGAAAAAATGCATTCCTTGTCACTCGCTCAATACCTATCATTGGACTGTGGTGCAAGACAGAGGCAGCTCCTCCTGCCTTGATGGTAGATGGATGGAGAAAAAAAAAAAGACAAATCTGCATTACCTTCAGGTTCTTCACTGAAACATTAAGAGATCATGACTCATACATACTAAAACATTTTCACTACATTATAAACTACAAAATATTTAGTGTACACTCATTTTGTCAATATTCCTTCCTTCCTTCCTTACTCTTGACATCTTACTCTCACTACCCTGTTCATTGTATATACTACTACTGGTTTTCAGCGTTATTCTTCTACATACCTAGCAACCATTTTTTTTATATTTCAAGCTTCCAAAAGAACAGTGTCATAGCAAATAACAGCTGTTACAACTCACACTTTAAATTTGATTGGTTATCATTAAAGTCTGCAACTCTCCAATGCACTAGCATTCACTTCTTTTACAATCACTAGCAGTAATAGTCTGGCCTTAGGCATGGATAGAGGCTTAAGAAGTAAAACTGTAGACAAGTGAACCAAGAAAACTGACCCGTGAATGGATTAGGTGGTAGGGGCGCATGTCTTTCATTCCTTATTACTGCTAGCTTTGGATCCGTGTTGTACTGTAGAGCTGCATGCTTCATAGCCACCTGGCCTATTCTTGCTGATACCCTGTTGCAGTTATAAGAAAATTACAAATTTAACTAAATCACAATCTTTTCACTCTTATTTTTTTTTTTTTAACAAATTAGCCATTTCCCACTCAAGATATCCCAAAATAGGAAACATTCACCTTCCCTGCTTTTTTCAGATACAAACAAATACAACAATTTCAAAATCAAAATGACCCATCAAACCATATCCCTAACCACTTTGGAGTGCAGGCACTGCTCTACCTACCTCCAGGACTCAAGTCTGGGAAACTGATTTTCCTTCATAGATACTACCTTGCTCACACTTTAACAGTACATCAAGCATACCTGGAGTTTACCTGGAGAGAGTTCCGGGGGTTCACGCCCCGCGGACGGTATGAGTCCAGGCTCACCGGTGGATCAGAGCCTGATAACCAGGCTGTTGTGCTGGTGCACGCCAACCAACGTACGATGCACACAGCCCGGGTTCTGATCGGACTGACTTTAGGTGCTTGCCCAGTGCCAGCTTGAAGGGACTGCCAGGGGTCTGTTTGGTAATCCCCCTTATTGTGCTGGAGGAAGTTTTTGGAACAGTCTCGGGCCCTGACACTTATTGTATGGTCTTTAACGTGCTAGTGACACCCCTGCTTTCTTTGGGGGATGTGGTGCATCGTCTGCCAAGTCTGTTGCTTTCGTTTGTGTGTGAGTTGATTTTCGTGTGCAAGTTCGGTATAGTCCCTCTAGGATTTTCCAGGTGTATATATTCTTGTAGCTTTCCCTCCTGCGTTCCAGGGAATTACAGGTTTTGGAACTCAACGCTCCCAATAATTCGAGGTGTTTTATTCTCCGTTATGCGCGCCGTGATAGTTCTCTGTACATTTTCTAGGTCGGCAATTAACCTGCCTTGAAAAGGTGCTGTTAGTGTGCAGCAATATTCCAGCCTAGATAGGAACAAGTGACCTGAAGAGTGTCATCATGGGCTTGGCCTCCCTAGTTTTTTGAGGTTCTCATTATCCATCTGTCATTTTTCTATCAGATGCGATTGATAAAATGTTATGGTCTTGAAGGTGAGATCCTCCGACATGATCACTCCAGGTCGTTGACGTTGGTGTTTCGCTTATTTGTGGCCAGAATTTGTTTTGTACTCTGTGAAGATTTAATTTCTATGTTTTCCATATCTGAGTAATTGAAAATTTCTTCTCGTTGAATTCTTATTGGTTTTTTCTGCCAGCCCACTGAAAGATTTTGGTTGATGTCTGCTGGAGCTTTGCAGTGTCTGGCAATGGAAGGACACTGTTCATTGCAGATTCGGGTGTCATCTGCAAAGTGACCAGACACGGTGCTGTGAGCTGACATCCTTGTCTATGTTCGCGGATATAAGGATGATGGAAACAAGATGGTGGAAGCGAGTACCCTGGGAGTTTACCTGAGAAGACCTTGTTGGAACAGACTTTTAACCGTAGTTGCTCGGACTTTACTATGTTGAGACTTACTCTCTGTGTTCTGTTGTGTGGAAATTATAGATCCATCGACCGACTTTCCTGTTATCCGTTAGCACGCATTTTGTGCGCTATTACGCCTTGGTCACACTTGTCGAAGGCTTTTGCAAAGTATGTATATATTAATCTGCATTCTTTTTGTCTTCTGGTGCATTAGGACCTTGTCGTAGTGGTCTCCAATAGTTGAGACAGACAGGAGCCGACCTGTTCTAAACCCCATGTTGCCCTGGGTTGTGTAACTGATGGTTCTGATGCATGGTGATCTTGCTTCTTAGGACCCTTTCAAAGAATTTTTTTGAATATGGCGATGTTAGAGCTATTGGCTGTAGTTCTTTGCTGTGCTTTTACTGCCCCCTTTGTGGAGTGGGGCTATGTCTGTTGTTTTTAGTAAACTGTGGGACGACCCCGTGTCCATTGCTCCCTCTCCATAGGATGGAATAAGGCTCGTGATAGGGGCTTCTTGCAGTTCTTGCATGAACACAGAGTTCCCACGAGTCTGGCCCTGGGGCAGAGTGCTGGGCATGTCAGTTTTCGGCCTGTTCGAAGTCATTTTGGCGTCAGGATACATCAGATAGCTTGTGTTAATCAATTTGTGGCTTCTCATAAAAAATTCATTTTGATCTTCGACTCCTCAGTTGGTTAGCGGCTTGATAAAAATGAGTTCATATTGGGACTGAGTTGCTCACTCATTTCCTTGCTGTCATCTGTGTTGGGCCCATTCTTGTTTAAAGTGGGCCCAATACTGGACGTTGTTCTCGATCTCGATTTTGATTTGGCATAGGGAGAAGACTACTTTGGGTTTCTTTCGATTTCATTGATGGCTTTTAGTTTTCCGCGATTCTGACTCCTAAGGTTTCTTTTGCTTAATGTTTCGAGCTTGCTATTTCTCTGACCCGTGTTCTCCCTAAGCTTTTCTGATATATTGACCTCTTTTAGACGCTCTGTTTTATTCTTCCGTGCCCTGTTAAAGGGCAGCGCCTGTCTCTTTTCTGTTTTACATCTACTCCTCCTTTTTTATCTTAGAGGAATAAGCCTTGTGCATAGATCGTAGTGCCACCGTCGTTAATCTGTTCTAGGGCATAAAGTTGGGTCTGTGTTTGCTTAGTATATCTTCCCAGCTTTATCGGTTAGGACTTGGTTTACTTGGTCCACTTTATGTTTTTGTTATTGAAGTTGAATTTGGTGAATGCTCCCTAGTGACTAATCTCATTTGCGGTTCTGGGGCTCCGCGCATACAATGGACTGAACCTCAAATTATGTTGTGATCTGAGTATATTGTTTTTGATATGGTGATATTTCTTATCAGATCATCATTGTTAGTTGAAGATGAGGTATAGTGTATTCTCCAGTCTAGTAGCTTATTATTTGTGGTTTAATTTGAATTTTGTGCAGAGATTTTAAAGCTCGGTGGGTGTGAGTTTTCATCAGAGCTGCCTCCTGGTGTTATTACTGCAACAATTTATTTGCTATATTCCTTCCAGTTTAGGTAGCCATAAGTTGAAATCCCCCAGGAGCAAGATGTTGTGTTGCAGGAGCTGGAAGGTTTTCCAGGACAGGGTCAATTTTTAACAGCTTCCGGAATTGCTGGATGTTGCAATCCGGAGTCTTGTAGACTATCTCAATGACGAGTTTTGGTTTCTCGGACCTTTATGCTAAAACTTCACTACATCATTGAGGCATTTAGCAGTTCTGTGCAAACAAGTGACTCTGCAATGTACAGGCCAAAACTCCCACCCCCCCCCTTTTTGCCTGTTCCACTTGTCACATCTGTATAGTTTGTAACTGGGATCCATATTGCGTTGTCCAAGTGATCATTTATGTGGGTCTCAGTGATGAAGGCCGCGAACCATTGCCTTGCCTCTGCAAGGCAGTCCCCACGGATGAAAGGTATTTTGTTGTTTGTTGCTGGCTTTAGACCTGTATATTTGCAAAAGAAGAATGTTATCGGACTGGTGGTAGTGTTGGTAATGGGGGGGGATATTTTTTTTTCCGGCATTAGTATCTGTATCTGTTGGTGTGGTGTGGAGGCCAATCACTGTCTGGTTCCACTCCAGGAATGACTGGATTTGGTGTACGATTTCTGCCATTTCCTGCCAGTTTTTTTTCCTTCCTGGCACTAAAAAACCTCTCCCTCTTGAGTGGCTTGTGGCTACCCAGGTTTTCCATGGCCTGGATGTGTTGTATCTTTTTGTCCCCTTTAGATGGTATGCCTGGCAATTTAAGTTATAAGCACAGGTCTTTCTGTACTGAAGAGGTACCACAGTTCAGAGGTGAATAAAGCTTCAGGAAGGGAGTTTGCATTTATGTTTTGTCATGTTGGGCATGGCATTTCCTAGGGTGCGTCAAAGTTTTGCAACGTCCCCATCTGTTTTTCCAGATTTCCCATGCACAGCAGATACCGAGTGCATAGTATGTGCTCAGGCTTGGTTTCGTTTGCCTTGGGTTTCTGTGACTGTAATTCCTGTTGGTGCATGTTTCCTGTCTTTCTTTATCCTCCCTAGCACCAACAATGGAGCTCCCACCAGTTGTTTTGGTTTTATATCCTCCACTATTGTAGTGGGTGAGGTCCTCTTGTTTGCTATTTTCCTGCGGTATTTATAGTTTGCAATTTGGTTTTATCTTATCTTTGACTACACTTGATTTCCCTACTATGGCTCTGTCCCCTTGAGGTCATTTCTATGTATTCAATCCTGCGTTAGATTTCCGTCTACCTGGACAAAATCTCCTGCTTCCCTTTTCTGTCTCCCAGCGACTGCATCTCCAGCTTCACCATTACTGTCTCCAAGGACTGCACCTCTAGCTCACATTACATGTCTCCCAGGGACAGCCCTCCTGCTTCCCCATTACTGTTCCCAGGACAGCACTATCAGCCCCCATTTTACTGACTACCAGGTCATCATCTCCAGCCTTACAGTTTCTGACTTAATGGCCAGTGTCAAGGGCAGTACCATTCAGCCCGGACTTTTTATGTTCCCCATCTGTTGTAGAAGCTTTCCAGGTTTTCTATGAAAGCAGCTTTTGATGTCTGTACCATCTTTTAAACCGTTGTGATTTTAGTCCACTGATTATCTAATTTGGGCATACCCAAAAACAACTTCTACGGTTTTAATACTGCTTGTAGCTAGTTCTTGGATTATCTTCACAAGGGGCCGTGACACCCCAATTTCCACAGAAATGACAATTTATGCATGTGGGGAAGCATTTGTTTGACCTGACCACAGACTAAACACGCTTCATAATGATTTGAATGGTTGATTTACTGCAATTTACTAGCAACTCATGAATATTCTATTAATAACCTGCTAGGTGGTGCACCAACGAAACGTTTGAAAACCATCCAGGGTTCGGACCAGTCAAGGGTTCGGACCAGTCTATCTGATATGATCAGTGGGTCACTTATTTAAACCATACTGGTCGGTGATTTGAGCCTAACACATGAAGGATCTACTGGAAAAATATCTACCCGTGTAATATGTGATTTGATTGATACAAAAGTATAACCTTGATCGTGTTTTTGAAGAGCCGGTGACTGCTGGCACTC